TATTTGATTTAAAATTGCTTTATAAAATAAGCAATGCAAAAGATGACCCAGATACTAATTGTAATTGTTCTAGCCATAGTTTAAGTCTAGTAATGTAAATTCTATTTAAATTGAGACCATTGAGTGAAATTATTTGAATTTTAGTTAGTTAAATCTCTTTGTTAGGTTATAATAATTATTTCTTTAAAATTTTTTAAATTGTTTAAAATAAGCAGCCCCACATAACATTCCCGCGCGCTTGCGCGCGGATAGTTTGGCTAGTTGATTATAAAACATCAACTTCAAAACTACAAAAGTTTGAAAATCAGTTTTATACACTAAATTAATAATAATTTACTGATCGAAAAGATTAAAAAAAGGAAATTGCACAGCGAAATTCTAAGGATATCAATGGGTTTCAAAAAAAAAAAAAATAAATCACTGATATGATAGGAGCGGATGTTTCGTTTTCAGGCCAATTCTAAGGGTCATATCGACTGGATGCTATACGCGTGTCATTTAGATGACATCATTCGTGTTCAAGGTTATTTGCCGAGACACAAGATCAAAGTGGAGCAAAAGATATATAGAAGTTTATTAAAAAAGAAAAAAAAATTCCCGCAGGATCTCTTTCGTATCCTCTAATTAAAAATCTATTAATTACAAAATGATTTAGATATATATCTCTTCATATGTAAACAAAACAAAAACGAGAAAATTAAATGCTAAATTCACGATTAATTCTAATTAGAAAGTCGTCAATTTATATAATTTATAAATGATAGATATATAACAAATACAAAAATAAAAAAAAGAAGTTTATTTTATTCCGGATTGTCACAAAAATGTTATTTTGTATTTTCCTAAACCTTTCACTGATTTCTAAATTCAATTATTCAAAACGTCAATAATTTTATTAAACAAATATTTAAATTCTTGTTTGTATATTTATTTTTCCACATAAATTAAAATTATTATTATATTATTTTATATTATTAAAATATACTTTCAAACCTCCTGAAATTGCATTATTTCCAGAAATTAAAACTCTAAACCTACAAAAATTTAATTATTTTCTAGAATTTTGAACTGAACTCCTTCTCAATTTTCTGAAAATTTTTTGAGAATTCAATTATTTAAATACAATTATTTTCAATAATTTTCCGGAAATTCTTTGAGAATTCAATTATTTATATACAAAATTCAATATTTTAAAAATTCTAACTCTTTGCGGTTTTTTTTTTTTTTTTAAAAAGGTAATAATGTAAAAGTTTTGAAAATAGCAACCAAAGATATTAAAAATAATTGATTTTTAAAAGATTATAATAAAAAAATTCAAAATTAATTTTTTAAAAATATTTCTAAACAGATTTTAAAGATAGTAGGTTCTTATTTACACAGAAAAAAAATTTATTCGATTCAAATAACCGATTAGGTACTTGTTTATTATCAAATAAATATTTACTTGATTCAAATAATTTTTATGTAAATCAATTAAATTGTATTTGAATCAATAATTTCTATATTTAAAGCAAAATACTATTAAATTGAGTTTAATAAAAATTAATTAGGTACACAAGTAAAAAATGCTAAATTTCTTCAAAATTTTAATATAAAGTCTGAGAAAGTAGATTTTTTTAAAAATGTTAATTTACTTTTATGGTGAAAATTTGAATTTTTAAAAATTCTGAAAATTAGTTTTATTCAAATATTTTAGTATAACTTTTCGAAAATAATTAAATTTATTAAAAGAACTAGACAATTTAAAAACCTAATCAATTTTTTTAAGAATATTATTCAAAAATTTCGAAAATATTTTATTTCCCCCCAAAAATTTTTTATAATAATTCTTAAAAATTTGATTTTTTAAAAAATTTTAATGTAATTATCTTTTATAGATATTTGAATTTTCAGAAATATTTAATTGAAAATGATTGAATTTTAAAAAATTATGATGGAAAAAATTCAAACAGTTACTTTTTTAAACAAATATTTTACAATATAATTTTTTAAAGTTAATTTTCATTTGAATGTTTTTTATACTGAAATTTTTGAGAATTTAATTATTTTCAGAATTTACTCTATTTAATCTTCGAAATTTGATTGTCAAAAATTTTAATGAAATGAAATTAAAAAAAAAATTTTCCAAATTCGCCAGTATAAATTATTTTCATGAATAATAATCATTAAAATGAACAAATTTTTAATAGTGAGAAAAAAAAATTTTTTTTTCCAAGACTGACGACCTTGTGGGGGGAAATTACTACGCCACATTCGTGATTCATCACATTCTTAAAATTATTAGAGATAGACGGTTTCGCGAGACACTAAGAGACATTGAAATTAAAATACAAGAATTTTTCCGACGATCATAATTCATAAAATGTAAACAAAATATAACTTTTAACCTCATTGGTAATTAATTAATAAAACCAGAAACTATTTTCTTTTGCACAATGAAAATTTAACTCATTTTAATATTTAAATTCAAATTATAATATCTAATTCACTGGAATATTAATTCTTTTAATTTAAATATTAAAATTTTCCTTTCTTTTCCACCTTTGTTTGAAAACACTTTTTTCAATTTTATTTTTAAGATTTTTAAGATTTTTAAGAACATAATATTTCGAAGTAAAATTCTGAACATCTGAAAAGAAATATCGAGATGAAAATTGCTTTAAAGGTGCCTCAAGAAAAAAAAATAAACCGTGTGGCAAGAAAAAAAATGAGAGTTACATATTTTTTTGTCTCTCTTACTAACAGTACACGTAACTTGAGAATTACTGTATTCCACAATCTGCCGTTTTCCATCTGGCGTCATGCAAAGAATAAACAGTAGGTGGGGTAAATATATGTACACACACAAGTGAATTCATTCAATGGGTTCTCGGCTTCTCGCATCAAATTCCCGAATGAACTTCCGCAGTATCCGAGCAACATCCTAACTAGTGCAAAAAATTATTTGTAACAAAAACCAAATATTTTCCTCTCTCGAACTGAAAGTTTATGAAAACTGCAAAAGAAAGAGAAATTTATTTCAATCAAATAATCGATTACTATTCACTAAATTTTATCAAGTAAATATTTGCTCGAAACAAACAATTTTAAATCAAATAAAGTCGATTCAAAACATTAATTTCTGTATAATAATTTGGCGAGTAATAAATAAGTGAATAATTAAAATAAATTTTATTTATTTAAACGAAATAAATGTGACGCGCTCCAGGGTGGTTACAAGTTTCAGTTTATCAATTTCCCTGACAATTTACAGACATTAAAATTATTTTCCCTGACAAAATTCTTTTTACAGGAAAATATGAAAGTTTACAGAAAATGATATTAAAATTTATGAATTTTAATAATTTCTAAAAATTACAATTATAACCCTATTTAAATTCAATTATTTTCTACAATTTTCAACTAAACTTCATCTCTAAATCAATTATTTTAAATAATTTTCTGAAAGTTCTTCTAGACGAAATTCAATTAATTAAACACAAAAACTCAATTTTCGCGCCAGCGCGCGAAATTATGATTATGAATTGTAAAATCCTCCACAAGAAATCAATTATTTTCATAAATAAGAAAATTCTTCGCAAGATTAAAAAATATCATAAATAATTTTTATAAACTTCAATTATTTTCAACAATTCTGATATAAAATTCTTCGAAACAATTCAATTTTTTCTGTAAATTGTCAAATTCTTGGATAAAATTTAATTATTTTTGTTAAAAATTAAATTCTTTTGAGAAATTCAATTATTTTCAATACAATATTTTGAATAAAATTTTTAATAAAATACCTTCAAAAAATGCAATCATTTTCAAATATTCGAAACAATTTAATTATTTTTATAAACTGAAAAATTCTTGTCAAAAATGCAATTATTTTTGTAAATAAGAAAATTCTTCTTTGAAATGCAATTATTTTCAATCCAATTTTAATAAAATTTCTATAGGAAAAAATTCAATTATATTCAAGATAATTTTAATAAAATTTCTCTAACAAGTTCAATTATTTATGATCCACAAGTTTTGAACGTTCAAATGAACGAAACACTTTTTATTAGAAATGTTTTTATAATTTATTGTTTGCAATAAAAATTAAAAACTTAAATTTTACATTTAGAAACTTTATAATTAATTTATTTTATATCGACAAAAAATTATTGTAATAAATATTTAAATTAAAGAACAAAATAAATAAATTTCGTTCATTTGAACGTTCAGAACTTTAGGATCATAATTATTTTTAGAAATTGTAATAAAATTTTTCTAAACAATTCAATTGTTCTCAAAAGTTTTTAATAAAACTCTTTGAATATTTCAATTATTATTTTCAAAATTTTTAAATAACATTATTTGAAAAAATTTCATTATTTTTACGAAATTTAATAACATTCTTTAAAAAATGTAATTGTTTACAAAAACTCTAAAAAAAATTGTTTAAAAGAATTTAATTTTCTATGAATAATTTTAATATAATTTAATAGAAAAATTAATAATTGCAATTAATCATAAACACGATTATTTTAAAAAACTCAAAAGAAATTCTTTATAAAATTCACTTACTTTCAAAATTTCCAATAAAAATTATTTTAAAAAAACTCCATTATTTAAGAATATTGAAATATCTAAATTCGTCAAAACAATTTAATAGAGAATTTTAAATTTAAAATCTTGACAAGAATTAAATTTTATCCAGTACAATTTTAATTACATTTTCTCGAAAGAATTTAATTATTGAAGATAATTGAATCTTAAAAAATTATGATAAACCAATTCTAAGAATTAGGTTTTAAAAATATTTTAATGTAATTTTTAAAGCAAATTTTGATTAAATTATATTTTCAAATTTTCATTTGAAGAATTTTCATTAAAATTTTTGTGAGTTCAATTCTTTTTAGAAATTATTCTTCAAATTTTGTAGTAAATAAACAAATAATAAAGTTGAATACCTATTATTTAATTTGAATAATATTATTGTTACAACAAAATCAATTTAAACTTTTACTCACCTACATAACAAATTTACCGCTCATCCTTCATGAATCGATTACTCCTGAAAAATTAATAAACGAATGAATAAAATAAATTGAAGAAATTATAATAAAAAAAATTATTATCTTCAAATTTTATATATTTCTCTTTACTAATTTGCAAATATATTATGAAAATTTGCAGAAATATTATTAAATTAATTAAAAAGAGAGTAAAATGGGAGAATTTAATTTAACATCGCTCACATCTTTGATAAGGAAACTCGTTTTAAGGTCAAATTTATTAGGAAAGAACAAAGTGTGTGAGAAAATTTGTCCGTTATAACAGAAATTATTGTCCAGATAATATAGGGACAAAAAAATAGAAAAGAAAACAAACTTTCGACAATTTCCTAAAAATTATTAGAAAATGTCTCTTAAAGTTTCAAATTTCTACATTCAAATTTTTTTTTAAACCCACTTCTTTTAAATTGATTTATCACAAATTATTATTTTTTTCATTTCATTATTTATACGGATTTAAATTAAAAATAATTATATAAAAAATATGGTAATTTTATTTAATAGGTAATTTAATATTTAATTTATTGAACACGTAATTTAATATTTGCTTTTGTTAAAACCGTTTTTTAAGTATTTGACGATAGAAAAAAGTCTAAATACTGTATTTAGATTTTTATTTATTACAAAATAATGAATAATTTAATATTTTATTTATTTAATAATTAAATATTTTATTTGTTTAACAACTTCAAATATTTAATTTATTTAACATAAAAATATGGAAATTCTTAATTTTCACCAATAACTAATATTAGTAATTTACAGAAACAATAATTAAAATTAATTATAAAGTTAAATATATAACTTTGATTTCGAAAAAAATTAGAAATTAATTTCGATTAGACTTTTAAAAGTTTTTTAATCAAATTAGAAAGAAAGCAAACTGCAGATAAATACTTTTTTAAAAAATTTTCTTGTTATGAAAAAATGATATATCAGACGTGACAGTGAAATAGAGAAGTTGCTAATGCAAGTCGATTGGAAATGTAAATAACGTTGACTATATTTATGTTTATTTTTAAAGTCTCTAATGAATTGCCTGAATTGCACAATGACAATCGTCAAAATCAATCTTGAAAATTGAAAAATAATTTAATTTTTTCAATAATAAAAAAAATCTATTATTTTTACAAAAAATAGATTTTACTAAATTAAATTATCTTTTAATTAAAAAAATATATATAAAAATTTAGTTAGTAATTAAAAAGTACTAAACAAAATTAAAATTAAAAAAATTAATACAAATAAATATAAAATATAAATAGGTATTAAAAAATAAAATCTAAATCGTGTATTTTTAAGGCGATTTCGAACAAAAATCCACATTTGGCATGAATTAAATTGTTTTCTATTTTTGAAACTCGCAAATTGCATTTGAAAGGAAATAATTTAAAACACAGACAGCCATTTAAGTCGGTAAAAAATGCAGTTTTATTTTTGGCTAGAGCAACTTACCAAGAAGTTCCGAATCAAACCTTCAGTTTGAACTTTCTTGGCTCGTTTTAAATTTAGCGTGACGTTCTGAACATGTTAATAAGAGAAAAAGCTAACTTAATTACAAAAAAACAACGAAAAATCCTGACAGAGCTTTTAAGAACGTTCTAAAAACGAATATCAACCTTTCTCTCTCACACACTTCACTTACAATATGAATACTAAATTCGCAAAAATTATTTACTTTCTTTTATTGATTTAATGATTAAAAAAGAAAGATGCAAAATAATTTATTATGTTTCTTTTGTGTTTATGTACACTTCCGATAAGAATTTAAATGAAGTGTGACACAAATGTGACATGTGCACATTCCCGTATGGGTGATATGTATGTTTGTCAAATGTATTGGTACACACGTGTGTATTTTGTATATATTATATATAATTTTGACTGCAAGTATCGCCACTTCTGGACATAGTGAAAGTCGGGCAATTTCTCTTACTTTTTTTTTTTTTTATTAAACCACAAGGGTCAATCACTGTCTAGGAATAACGTAACGAATCATTTTTTTTGTCATTCTAATTTTATAACATTTAAATGACACCTGCTATTGTGCCAGGAAATAAAATAGTGAGGAAAAAAAATACACGAGCCCCTTGGACAAATTCCACTTTTCTAAATAATAATTAAATGAATCTATTTTTCTTCTATGAAAAATTTGCAAATATGTTAAGAACGTGAAAATAGAATATTTTTTCCATTTTGTATAGTTTTTAAAAAAATGTTTTTTTCAATAAAATTTTGTAAATTCACGGCAATAAAAGAGACGAAGCGGTGATAATAATTTAATCACATTCCAGGCGCAATCGCGTCTGAAATTCGTTACTCACCCTGACGACACAATGAGAATGTTTTTTAATCCTTAAATTCAATGATCAACTATAGACGAACACTGTCACTTTCTTAATAATTGCATTTGCACTGAAAAAACTTCAATAAATATTGACGACACAAACATAACACTCGTTCAAGTGTCACCGTGTGTCACACACATTTCGGTAGAGCGGCCATTTTGCTTTGCACTGCTATGGACAACCTGGAGCAGCCCTAAAATCAGGGTTGGGTAGTTAGGCGCTAGCAAAGAAAAGGAGAATCTCTAAAGGAGCATTAAGAGTGATGACCAATCAAATGACTGGATTTTTTGAACACTTATTCTGATTGGTCAAATCTTATCGTGTGCCGCCTCGGTTGTTTATGTTGACTGCGCATGCGCTAACAAAAGAATAACAGTGGAACATAACCTGAAAATTTGTAAAAAAATAAAAATATTTGCGCAGTAAAATAACATTGTTTAAATCGTTTAAATTAACACGATCGAATGTAAATAATATTTAATTTATAATCAACTTCGTCACTGAAAGTAAGCATTATCTTTTTTAATAGTAGCAATTAATTCTTGATAATTTCAATAAGTTTGCAAATTTCGTTTGTTAATTTCTATTTTGATAAACTTGGTTTCAACAAATTATTTTTGCAATTTCCTTTTTTTCAATATAAATTTTATGTAATTCAGGGCTCGAATCGGTGAAAGTATTTAAAAATATGGACTTTACGGACTGAAAATTAAAAATTACGGACTAATTACTGACAAAAATATAACCAGTCCGAGTCAAATAAGAACGAAGTTGAAGTCCACAACGTTGATCAACGAAAAAGGTTTTTTAATTTATTCTATTATTATATTTTTGTAAAATATACAACAATTATTATTATTAAAATATAAATAAAGCTCCCTTTTCAATACATTTTTTGACAGTATTGTTGCTTTATCCTTTTTTTCCTATTAATTAACACTTATTGAAAAACTTTTTTCGTTGATAAACGTTGTGGACTTCAACTTGGTAAATAAGAGAACATTTTACTTACTATAAATTAAATTTTTTCATAATTTTACATGTTTTATAATAATTAAAGATGGCCCAGTGATAAAATAATTATTTCGTTATAAGAATATTGTAGTTCTTCAAAATTATTTTCATCATTTCAATTCAATTATTATTTTCAAAAATTTTTAACTAAAATTCTTCTTTAAATCAATTATTTTTAATAATTTTCGAAAAAATTCTTTGGCAATTTTCAAATCCATTTGTTTACAATATTCAATTTCACGAAATATCAATTATTCGTAAATTCTTCAATTAAATAAATATAAGAAAATAAAAACTTCAAATAATATAAAAAAGAATTAATTAAACTTTTTCAAAAAAATTAATTTCAAAATTCAATTGTTTCTAAAAATTCACGCTATATTGCTTTTAATATTCAATTATGATCTAAAATTTTAACTAAAATTCATTATTAAATCAATTTTTATTTAAAAATTTTATGAAAATTTCATTATTCAAATATAAAAATAAATAATTTATTGAATAATTGAATTCTCATAAAGAATTTTATCAGTAAAAATTTTAAAATAAAATTGAATTCTTTTGTCGAATTTTATTCAAACTTGCATGAAAATAATTAATTTTTTCTAAGAATTTAATTAAAATTGTATGAAAAATAATTGAAATTCTGCAATGAGTTACTCTTGAAAATAATTGAATTTATGCAATAATTTGTAACTTCTCCAAAATTCAATTTTTTTTCTAGTGTTTTTAACTAAAATTCTTCTATAAATGCATTATTTTTAATAATTTTTGAAAAAGTTCTTTGAGAATTTTCAGATTCATTTGTTTACAATTCAATTTTACAAAATTTCAACTATTCGGAAATTCTTCAATTAAATATATATTAGAAAATAAAAACTTGAAATAATTTCCAAAAAAAAATTCAATTAAACTTTTTCAAAAGATAAGAATTAATTCTACAGAATTGTTTGTTAAAAATATTAATAGTTCAGAATTTTATCGATTTTAATTTCAAAAATTCTACGAGAATTCAATTATTTAAATAAAAAAATTAATTAATTATTAGGTAATTTAATGTTTCTTAAAATTAAATTCTCATAAAAAATTTTATCTACAAATTTTTAAATAAATCAATTCTTAAGACGAATTTAAGTAAAATTTTTAAGAATAATTAGATACATTTTTCGAGGAATTCGATTAAAATTGCCTTACAAATAATTGAAATTCTGCAATGAGTTTTATTATTTATGAAAATAATTGAATTCCTGTAAATTTTTTTATTATTTATGAAAATAATTGAATGTTTGCGTAGAATTTTATTCAAATTTTTTTTAATAATGGAATTCTTTTGGAAAATTTTATTAAAATAGTAGATATTGAAAATCATTGAATTTGAGAAAATTTATAAAAATAATTGAAATTTTGACGAGAATTAAAAAAAAATTTTTAACACAATTGAATTTCTGCGAAGAATTTTATTACTTTTGAAAATAATTGGATTTTTCTGCAATCAATTTGTAATTTCTCTAAAATTTTTCAAATTATATCGAACAATTTACAAACTTTTCGTGTTGCGTAACTGACAGAATTTTTAAAAGCTTCTATATATTTTAAAAAATTTCATTGACTAAAATTAAAAAAAAAAATTATGCTCCTAAAAAAACAAAATAATATCGAAAGGAATTTTTTCAGATTTACCAAAAATGGGAAAGTGGCAACTGGAAGTTTTTAAAATGTCCCTCTATATGGCTTTTCCCGTTGGTTGTTTTCATTATTTCAATCAACCGGAAAACTTTGAAAATATGATATTAACTGCAAGAAGAGAAATTTCATCGAAGGAAACGCCGGAGATGAAACAACAAATGAGAGATTTTATCGATAAAGTTAATGAAAAGAGAAGATTACGTGAAGTAGAAGTAATGGAAGCTAGTGACAAAAAATTTCAAGCTCTTAAACTACAAAACAGTTAAAAAAAATTGACTTCTACATTGTCATTTTTGTTTGTCTGGATTTATAATAGAAATTTCTCTTTTTATCTATCCAAAATGTACATATAGATAATTAATGTTTAGAAAACGTCATATTTCGAATATTTTACGTCAAAAAACAAGAGGTAATCTATAAAATAAATATTTATTAAAATTACGTATATTATGTACAAGAATTTGAACAATTTTCTATAACGATAAACCTTGATAAATTAAAGAGAAATATAATTTATATAATTATAATTATAGCTAAAATTTATATATATATTCAGGGTTACCACAGGTCAGGGAAAAGTAAGGAAAAAAAAAGGTCAGGAAAATCAGTGAAAATTCCGGGATTTTGATTAAAAGTACTGGGAAAAAGTAAATTTTTAGAATTCATAAGAAAATTCTGAATTTTTGTATCTATTTTGTTTATCTCGTAAACTATGAAATTACCACAAATTCTAATACAAAACCTTCAATTTTTTCTATTTCTGAAAATAATTTCTTTTTAAATTTAACTTAATTCTTTAAGAACCACAAAATTTTTACTTAAAAATTATTTAGTAAATAATCAGACTTAAATATTTCAAAATTAATTGAATTTTAAAAGACTTGCGTTTACAATTTTCATAAATAGATGAACTTCAAAAGGTTTTAGTTTAGAATTTTGGAAAATTGCAATGTTGAATGAATTTAATTAGAAATTTTAATTAAAGAACTTAGATTTTTGAAAAATTTTAATAATTCAAATTCTTCTGAAATTAGTTAAATTTTTTATCTACACTTCACTAGTTATTGAAAATAATAGATTTACAGAAGAATTTTAGTTGTAAACACTAAAAAAATTTTCAAGTTTTCTCAAATTCAATGATTTTCAAAATCGACTATTTTAATAAAATTTTCCCAAAGAATTCTATTTAAAAAAAAAAATTTGAATAACATTCTAAGCAAACATTTAATTATTTTCATTAATAATAAAAATTGTTACAGGAATTCAATTATTTACAAATTTTTTTAAAATTTCTTCGCAATTCAATTATTTTTATAAATAATAAAATTTTTACAGGGATTCAATTATTTTCGTAAATAATAAAATTCTTTTAGGAATTCAATTATTTTCATAAATAATTAAATTCATTGCAGAATTTCAATTATTTTTAAGGCAATTTTAATCGAATTCCTCGAAAAATGTGATTATTCTTAAAAAATTTTATTAAAACGTCCAAAGAATTTAATTATTTAAAAATTTGTTGATAGAATTTTTTATGAGAATATAATTTTAAGAAACATTAAACTAATAAATTATTTATATTTGTATTTAAATAATTCAATTCTTGTAGAATTTTGTATTAAAAATTGATTTAAAAATAAATTTCAGTTAAAATTTTAGAAATAATTGAATTTTGAAAGCATTATAACGTGGATTTTTAGAAATAATTGAATTTTGAAAAGATTTCAAATTAAAATAATTGAAATTCTTAATTTTTCATATTATTAACAAACAATTCTGTAGAATTAATTCTTTTGAAAAAGTTTAATTGAATTTTTTTTTGAAATTATTTCAAGTTTTTATTTTCTAATAAAATAAAAAATTAAAATTAAATAATAGATATTTAATTGAAGAATTTCTGAATAATTGAAATTTTGTAAAATTGAATTGTAAACAAATGAATTTGAAAATTCTCAAAGAACTTTTTAAAAAATTATTAAAAATAATCGTTAGGAAAAGAAAAAACTAAAAATTTTGTGGAAACCCTGTAATACTGTCATGTCATCAGTCATTTTTTATCATCACAATTTTTCTTCTATTGGCATTAATTGAAACTAAAATTACAACAGTCGATATAATTAGTCCTAAAATAATTCCGCTACCAGCACCATAAATATCTTCAATTATCCCCACAATTAAGGGAGTTAACATTCGGGCAATATTCGTGATACTTGTTCCCATCCCTGTTAAACATCCACGCTCCGAATCGGGACATCGTTTAAACAATATTTCAGCTTCTCTTACCCTTAAAATCACATTCGCAAAGGCAAGTAACATGCCAAAAAAGACGAAAATTTCAACTTTGGTTGCTAGCAAAATGGCTAAATAGCACAGAGTGACGAAAATATGAATTTTTACACTGTGCTTCTCGAAATCAATCTTATTTTTGAATAAAAATTTATTTACATATCCCATAGAGAGACCACTTAACGCTGCAGAAAATCCCTGCATTGACAAACTATATCCAATCAATTTCGGTGAAACTTGAAATCTTTCACGAACTTTTATTGAATAATTATTAACGTAACAATCCTTTGCCACGGATGTTAGAAATTTTACTAGAAATATATCCCAATATAAATTCCAATCTATATTTATAAGATCATTGATTGCTCCGATTAGATTTTTTGGAATATTTTTTATTACACTTGACAGTTGAATAATTTCTTTCGTCTCGGATTTATCAACCTTTTTTGGAGGATCTTCCAAGTAGAGATATGCAATTGCTGAAAATTAAACAATCTTTTAAATTTTCAATCATTTTTTGTCAAGTTTACATACAACGATCAAAAATATTTTTCTAATTTTCAATACAAAAACATTTTTTACTTGATCTTTATTCATTATTTCCAAACGGAACATTTTTTTGACAAAAAATTATTTTCCTTCTGCTAAACAAAGAAAAAAAAATCATTTTCTGTACAAAAAACATTTTTACAAATGTTCTTTTATTCATTATTTTCAAGAGAAAAATTTTCAAACAAATAATTTGATTTTCTTTGTGAATAATATAAATTTTAATCGTTAGAAATAGAGATTTTTTTGAAGAGATAGAAAAGAAAATTAAAATTATATAAACGAACCAATATTTAAAATGAAGATAAAAGCAGTAAACATGCAAATGTAAAAGAATCCATTTTCGAATTCAACAAAATGTCCTCCAATCGCTGGTCCCAACGTGAAACTAATTCCTGCTATTGCATTTACTCGGCCAAAAATTACAGTTTGTTCCTTCATGAAAATATGATCGGCTATCACTGTTCTAATTAGCGATTGAATGTGTTTGAAAATACCTAAAGTTGCTCTTAATATTAATATCAAAAAAAGAGATTGCGTTATTCCCATAAAAAAGTAACAAACACTGGTGATAATTAGGCAAAAGATGAGAATGTTTTGTCGTCCCAGTCGATCGCTCAAACTTCCCTAAAAAAAAACAATTTTTTATTTTTACGATTATTCTTTTTATTAAGTGCTTTCACAAACAGAAAAATTTTATAAACATTTCTCGATTACTCACAATTATGGGTCCACTTAAAAGTTGACATCCTGCATAAACTGAACTGAGAACACCAATAAAAAAGTGACTGGCTCCTAAACTTTTTAAATGCCCCGATAGTAATGGAATAAAAATACTGATTCCAAAAAAATCCTGAATTTAAAAATCATTTTTTAAATGCATTTAATTGCAATTACAATTAAAATTATAGTTACAGTTAAAATTACAATTGTAACAAATTATTAATTAAAAATTAAATACAATTTATTACTAACAAGAAAGTTTTATGCGCGAAACTTTATTTGAATATTAGATTCAATATTTAATATTCTGATGCAAATTACGAAATTAAAAATTTTTAAATATCAACTTCAATTTTTGGAGTAATTTCAAATTTCAAAAACATTCACTTATTAATTAATTAACTATTTAATTATTTTTGTTTACTATTTTCTAAAATTTTAATTAAACTCTTTAAAACAATTCAAATACTTTTAAAAAGTTTACTAAAATTCCTCACGACAATTCAATTATTCTAATAAATAAATAATAAAATTCTTGATCTGGAATTAAATTATTTTCATAAAAATAAAACTATTTGGGGAAATTAAATTATCTTCATAAATAAAAGAAATTCTTCGCAGAGATACAATTATTTTAATAATAAGTAAAATAAAATTCTTCTTCTTCAACTATTTTCATAAAAACAAAATTCTTTTGCAGAAATTCTATTATTTTGATAAATAACTAAAATTCTTGGCAGAAATTCAATTATTTTAATAAAAAATAAAATTCTCCATCTGGAATTCAATTATTTTTATAAAAATAAAATTCTTTGCAGAAATTTTCTAAATACAATTTTAATTAAATTTCTTGAAAGATATCATTATTTTCAAAACTATTTTAATAAAATTTCTCAAAATAATTAAATTATTTAAAAAAAAATTTGATAAAACTCTTCGCAAACATTCAATTATAAAATAAATAATATTTTCACAAGAATTCAATTATTTAAAAAATCTTAAATGAAATTCTTCGCTAGAATTCATTTATTTTTCAAGATTAAAATTAAATTAGTTGGAAGTATTTAATAATTTTTAAAATTAATAAAATTTCCCAACGAAAATTAAATTTTTTACAAAATTTTTGATAAAATTCGTTGAAGGAATTTAATTATTTTCATAAATAATAAAATTCTTCATTTAGAATTCAATTATTTTCATAAATAATAAAAATTATTTATTTAGAATTCAATTATAATTATAAATATTAAAATTCATCAGCAGCAATTTAATTATTTTCGTAATAAATAAAATTCTTTTGCAAGAATTCTATTATTTTCATAAATTACAAAAATTATTCGCAGAAATTGAATTATTTTCATAAATAATAAAATTCTGAGGAATTTAATTATGTTTCATAACAATTTGAATATAAATTTTCGAAAGAATTCAATTATTTTTAAAAAGATTGGATTTTATTTAGAATTCAATTATTTTATTTACTTAGTATATATATTTTCAAAAAATTTTTAACTATATTCTTTAAAAGAATTGAATTATTTTCAAAAATGTCATTAAAATTCTTCCCACGAATTAAATTATTTTCTCCAGATAATTATAATAAAATTTCTTAAAATATATTATTTTCATAAATTTCAATAAAATTCTTCAAAAGAATTAAAAAATTTTAATAAAATATTTTAAAAAGACTCAATTATTTTCAATCTTTTAAAAAATTTTTAACAAAATTCTTCGCAAGAATTCATTTATTTTTCTTGATTTTAATAAAATTCGTTGGAAACATTCAATAATTTTTAAAAAATAATAAAATTTTCTAACGGAAATTAAATTTTTTATAAAATTTTTAACCAAATCCTTCTCACGAATTTAATTATTTTTAAAAATTTTAATAAAATTCGTCGCATGAATTCAATTCTTTTTATAAATAATAAAATTCTATACAAATATTCAATATTTTTTATAAAATAATAAAATTTTCTAACGGGAATGAAATTTTTTACAAAATTTGTAATCAAATCCTTCTCACGAATTTAATTATTTTTAAAAATTTTAATAAAATTCGTCGCATGAATTCAATTCTTTTTATAAATAATAAAATTCTATACAAATATTCAATATTTTTTATAAAATAATAAAATTTTCTAACGGGAATGAAATTTTTTACAAAATTTGTAATCAAATCCTTCTCACGAATTTAATTATTTTTAAAAATTTTAATAAAATTCGTCGCATGAATTCAATTCTTTTTATAAATAATAAAATTCTTTACGAATATTCAATATTTTTTATAAATAATAAAATTCTTCTGAGGAATTTATTTATTTTCCATAAAATTTTAATATAATTTTTCGAAAGAATTTAATTATTTTCAAAAATTTTGATAAAATTTGTTTTTATTTGGAATTCAATTATTTTCAATTCATTTTAAATTATATTCTTTAAAAGAATTGAATTTTCTTCAAAAGTTATAATTACATTCGACAGAAGAATTGAATTATTAACAAAAATTGTAATAAAATTCTTCGAAACAATTCAATTATTTTAAGAAATGTTAATAAAATTCTTTACAATGATTAAATTATTTCCATATAAATTTCTCCATTTTAATTCAATTATTATATGAAGAATAATAAATTTTTTCACAGGAATTCAATTATATTTTCAAATATAATTTTAATACTACAATTTTTCGAAAGAATTTTATTGTTTTAAAAAATTGTTATGAAATTCTTCGAAACAATTTACTTATTATTAATAAAATTTACTATGTTTTCAACTGAAAAGAGTTAAATTTTTTTTAAAACTAAAATATGAGTAATAATTACCAGAAAACTTATAATGTAAGTCCATGCCACGTGAAACGTCATTTTTTTGATAAAAAAAAAGAAGACAATTCTTTTAAACTTCTTTGTCTCTTATGGATCAACTTTTGTCCATTACCATCTTTCTAATTTCATTTTATACGTGATAATAATCACATCACATTAAACATATGTAATACGTAGTAGTTGTAAACGTCATTTAGATAACAAAAAATTGGTAGTGTGGTATTGTAAATTTTTTAAAGTCATGCTTCAAATGCAAAATTCATTTAAATTCATTACTTTTTGATAATGATTAACTTACTAATTTCTTACAACGAATAAATGTCATTTTGATATTTATGACATTTTGATAAATATAATTGTGTAAATAAAGCAACATCTTAGGTGTAAAGAAGATGATAAATGATGTAAGCCAAGTAAACAAAATTTATAAGATAATTTTGAGGTTAGTAATTATAAAAACATTTTAAAAATGATGTACTAGTTTCGGACAGGTTAGTAGATGGCGGATCATTTAAATTCTCAACAAAAAAAAAAAAATGTAAGAATAACATTTTTTTTCGGTATACAAAAATAAATAGATGCTAAAGTTAATAATAAATAGAAATATACAGAAATAAAGTGTATATAGTATATAAAAAAAATTGTTTACAAAAATTATATTTGTTGTTATAAAGTTAATTGTTTATTAACTGTTGGTCAATGAGAATGCAACCCGACTTGCATGCATGTTTCAAACTGTGTGGCGACTAAAATTGAAAATAAGAAGGTAAGTATAATAGTAAAAAAATTATTCTAGAAAATTTTAACAAAATTCTTAAAAACAATTGAACAATTTTAATAAAATATTTTGAAACTATTTAATTATATTCTAGAAAATTTGTCGAAATTCAATTATTATCAAAGTTGACTATTTTAAATAAATTTTTAAAAATAATTCTATTATTTAAAATAAAATTTGATACATTCAATATTTAAAATTTCTTTTAAAATTCGTTGCAAGAATTGAAGTATTTTCAGAAATAATAAAACTCATCGCTGAATTTCAATTATTTTCAAAAAATGTTTAAGAATATTCTCGTCAAGATTTTAATTATCATTATAAATAGCAAAATTCTTCGCCGAAATTCAATTATTTTTATAAATAAAATAACTCATCGCACAATTTCAATTAATTTTAATAAAATTCTCCTCAAGAATTCAGTTATTTACAAAAATTTTTTAAAAATCTATTACAAGAATTTAATTCTTTTTCATGATTGTAATACAATTCGTTGCAAGAATTCAACTATTTTTAAAGATTTCAATAAAATTTTATCAAAAAAAAAAAAAAAAAAAATTTATCATTTTTATAAATAATAAAATTTTTGAACGAAAATTCAATTACTTAGAAAAATGTTAATAAAATTTTTCTCTTGAATTTCAAATATTTTTAAACTTTTTAAATAAAATTCGTTGCAAGAATTGAATTAGTTTCATAAAAAAAAATAAAACTTATCGCAGAATTTCAATTATTCTTCAACTTTTGAATAAAATTCTTCGCAAGAAATTCATTATTTTCAAAAATAAAAAAACTCATCGCAGAATTTCAATTAATTTTAAACTTTTTGATAAAATTGGTTGCAAAAATTAAATTATTTTCATAAATCTGAAAACTCATTGCAGAATTCAAATTATTTTTAAACATTTAAATAAAATTCTTTCCAAGAATTCAATTATTTTCATAAATAAAAAAACTCATCGCACAATTTCAATTTTTAAAAAAATTTTAAATAAAATTCTCCACAAGAATTCAATTATTAAAAAATAAAAAAATTTAAATCGGTTACAAGAATTCAATTATTTTCATAAAATGATCAAGCTCACCGCAGAATTTCAATTATTTTCAAAAATTTGAATAAAGTTCTTCCCAAGAATTCATATATTTTAAAAGATTAAAATAAAATTCGTTGCAATAATTCAATTATTTTTTATAAATAATAACATTTTTCATCGAGAATTCGATTATTTAAAAAAAATTTTTTAAAATTCGTCGCACAATTTCAAATATTTTTATAAATAATAAAAATTTTCTGTGGAATTCAGTTAATTTTATAATAAAATTGAGATGAAATTCTTCGAAAAAATTCAATTATTTTCAATAATTTCAATAAAATTTTTGCTTGTAATTTAATTATTTTTAAAAAGTTTAGTAAAATTCGTTAATAGAATTCAATAATTATTTTCAAAGATTTTGAAAAAACTCTTTAAAAAGAAATCAAATATTATCAGTAAAATTTTAATTTAATTCCTCGTAAGAATTAAATTTTCTTGGAAACAATTGAATTTGTATTTTAAAGAAAATGTTTTTTTTATTTTTCATTTTATTTTCATTAATAATAAAGAGCTTTGGAGGAATTTAATTATCTTCAATATACAATTTTAATAAAATTTGTCAATATTTAAATTATAAAAAAATTTGATAAAATTCTTCGAAAGAATTTATGAAAGTTAGGAAATTAAAATAAAGAATGAAATTTCTGTGATTTTTGTGAATCGTCTAAAACGTGATTAATTGGTTTAGTCGGAAAATTAATTTTTTCAATAACTTCTTTTTCCTTCTTTTTAAAAATCAATTATCGAATGCTAAGTCCTTAATTATGTGAATAATAAAATAATTACCTTTTTAGTTGAAAGATAATTATTTAATAATTGTTTTAATTTGATAGAATAAAAAATAAGAGATTAATTAATTTAATAAAAATAGAATTTAAAATAAAATAGTTAATAAATATTTCAATAAATAATTAATAATAATAAATAGAATATGAATAATAAAATAACTAATTTTTTAATTGACTGATAATTGTTTAATAATTGTGTTATAATTATCGAAATAAAAAATAATAGGTACCTATTTAATTAATTCCGAAGATATTTTGTCATATTTATTATAAATATTAATTAATTAATAGGTAATTTGTCAAAATTAAAAAAAAACACTTGTATAACGGTAGTTTATATGTTAATAACTATGCAGAGGCTAGAAAATAATAATTATCGCAAAAGAATATTTGTATGAGTGTGTTTTATTGATAAATTAAAAACTATATTGAGCGCATTAGTCATTTAAAATTTACTGATAATTTTTTTTTCTTCTAAAGTTGAAACACAGAAATGAGAGTATAGATACAAAATTAAATATTTAAGTTAATTGAATATATAAATATTAAGCTTAAGAATATTTGAACCATTATGACGTCAACGTTTTAGAACAAAAGTTTACTGTGACATTATAATTATTATTGTTCGCTGAAATGCCAAAAAAAAAATGTTGCGTTTTTAACTGAAATTCTAAAATGAAAAATATAAATAAATAAATATGGTTTAAATAAAAAAAGAGAAAAAAAAGTAAATAAATAAAATTGAATTAAAAAATATAAATAAAAGAGTGTAAATAAAAAATAAATAAATAAAAGAAATATAAAATAGATAATTTATTATGTGATCAAATATTAACCCAATTTCAGATTAGAAAACTAGATTTAAAACTTTTGTATAAATGTCGATGTAATTTTTTCACTAAATATTTTTGCGTGTACTTTTTTTTCTTTTAATAAGAAGAATTTTTTCAGAAATTGAAAGTTTAAAATTTAGTTTTACTGAGATAAAAAAAATATTCTATATTATGCACAATATTGAAAGAAAAAAAAATGATGTCAAATTTTAGAAAATTGATACCACGTTAATTTTTTATAAAAGCAATCATCGCGTCACACCTGCGTTGAATAATATTGTAAATAGTACATTTAGATAAGATAATACTCCGTTAACCGAGTTTAAATATCAGACCATTGAAACAGTCGTCAGTTTTGGTTGGAAGGTTTCAATTTATACACTTTTTTTTTATATTTTATAGTTTGCAAATCTAGGGAAAAAATGCCCGGTAAGGATACTCAATTTTTTGCTTTTATTCTTTCACAATTGTTTATTACTAGTGTAAAATAACTAATTATCAATGGAAAATAACTAATTATTAGTAGAAATTAAATAATTACTAGTAGAAAATAATTAATTATTAGTGAAAATGGAAGTTAACTAATTATTGGTAGAAAATAACTAATTTACTAGAAAATAATTAATTTTTAGTAAAAAATAACTAATTATTAGTAAATAACCTGAAAGCAACTCTAACTAATAATTAGTCACTATAATAATTATTTAATTAGTAAAATATACTTGATTGACTTTTCTTAAATAATCTAAAAGTAAATTTAACTAATAATTAGTAATTAATAATTATTTAATTAGTAAAATATACTTGATTGACTTTTCTTAAATAATCTAAAAGTAAATTTAACTAATAATTAGTCACTAATAACTATTTAATTAGTAAAATATTACTATTTGATTGACCTTTTGAATGATTTGAATATAAATATTGAACTTGATTATTTGATTGACTGACTTTTTAAAAAATACATTTTTTAAATTATATTCTATAAATTAATTATATAAATTAAAAATTTTTAATTTAATTTTAAAGTTATTCCCTTAAAATATTTAAATTTTTATTTTTTTACTATTAAATTATAGTTATTTTTAACCAATTCAAATTCAGACGTTAATTTAATTACTTTATTGCAAACATAATATTTTTATTAATAAAATCTTTGAACTTGAATAAAATTTCAAAAATTTAAAACAGTAGGAAAAAGAAAAAAAAGGAACATTATTTATATAAGTAAAAAAACAAATAATTAAATTTAATTCATAGCTTACAAATGGTTAAGACGATCGGCAGGAACTCCAGTTCCCCACACAGCGGTCGAAGGTAATAATTTATTATGAAACTTATTTTTTAATTAAAAGATAAAAATAAATAAAGGAAAAAATTTTAAAATTTAAAAATATTCACAACAAAATAAATAAACACAATAAAATAACTACACACAGGGAAAATTTACGTTTAAATTAAATATTCTATTTTTTGTGCATAAAATATTTTTTTACGTTATTTTTATACCTTTAATTTTATTTTTGTTTAACCGGAATAAATATTTTTTTTTATATAAATAAATATTTGGTTAAGTTTAATGAATTTTGCATTCGAAAATAGAATTTCGTTACCTGATGGAAATATTTAGTTGAACCAAATATATGTTTTGATAGCATTTTAAGTGAATCATTGAAAGAATACAATAAATTGATCATTAATTAAAAGTATAAAATTTACGTTCTTCTTTATTTTCTTTATTAAATTTAAAAAAAATAATTAAAGAAAAAATTAGTTAATTGTACTAAAACATTTATTATCATAGTACTTTTAATCTTAGGAATAAAATCAGACTTATGTCTGTACAAACATAGCCAGACAAACATTATGTGATTATTAAATCGAAATTATATCAATTTTTTTATCTATTCCTATTAAAAAATCAGTATTTTATTAAGAATTCTAAAAAAATCTTTAAAAATACGACATTATTTATTATTTTCACATTATTACAAGATTGCATATATTTTTTTTTAAAAGGAAAAACAATGGCATAATTTCTCTTTCTCAATGGCAATTTTTTAACAATGTTCAAAGTCTTTTATTAAATAAAAAAAAAGTTTACTGTTTTTCGATTTTGAAAATATTTATAATTTATATCTCATTTCAAAACTTGATAGAAAAAAACAAAAATGAAATAAATAAAAACAATAATAATTGTTTTAAATTAACAAACATTTTTTAGAATTATTATAAAAAATAATACATAATATACTTTAAATCAATTATTAAGAAAATACTATATAATTAGTTCTTATTAATATTTAATTAATACTTATACTAAAAAAATTCATTTTGATTTGATTTGTTAAAAAATGGTGTTGAAAAAATATAAATTATGCATAGTTTTTTATTTATTACCAAACAAACTGGAAGATTTGTTGAAAAATTGTGTTTGAGAAATATAAGTGGTCGTAATTTATTTATTTTTTCTTTTTCAAAAAAAGAGAGGGAAATTATGAAATAGTATTTAAGCAAATTTTTTTCATTAATTTACAAAAAAAAAATTATAATTATTTCGTTAAAAATTGTAATTAAAAAACAGAAAATACAAAAAGTCTTTTTTCAAGAGAAACCAAAAATTTTGTAATAAAAAAATATGATTGACAAATCAAAATTATGAAAATATTTTTTCTTTACTTTTTATAAAAATCTTTTAAACTTCACAGTTTTATTTTCAATTAAAAATTGTGATCGAATTTATATAAAAATTACTTTTATTTATATTATTTATATTTATATTTATAATAAATTGAATTCCTGCAACGAATTTTATTATTCATTAAAGAATTTAAATATTTATAAAAATAATTTAATTCTTGCGAAAAATTTTATAAAAGTTTTTAAATAATTGATTTTTTTCGACTAATTTTATGCAAATTCTAATTTAAATAATGAATTCCTGAGAAATTTTTATTATTCATGTAAAAAATTGAATTCTTACGAAGATTTTTATAAAAAATTTTTAAATAATTGAATTCTGTTTGGAAATTTTTTGAAAATAGTAGATATTGAAAATCATTGAATTGGGGAAAAGTTTTTAAAAATAATTAAATTTTACAAAGAATTGTATTAAAATTTTTAAAAATAATTGAATGTCTGTGTGGTATTTTTTAAATTGAATTGTTTCGAAGAATTATTTATGTAAATAATTGAATTCTTGGAAAGAAGTTTATTTAAAATCTAAAAGAATAATTGAATTATTTCAAAAAAATTTAATTAAAATTGTATTTAAACTAATTGATTTCTTTCGAACATATTTTATTAAAATATTTGAAAATAATTGAATTCCTGCGAATAATTCTAATATTTTTGTAAATACTTAAATTCTTCTAAAGAATTCTAAAAAACACTTTTAAATAATTGTTTTTTTTTGAGGAATTGAAATTAAATTTTTAAAAATTATTACATTATTCGAGCAATTCCTGTAAAATTGTATTAAAAATAATTGAAATCCTGCAATGAATTTTATTATTTATGAAAATAATTGAATTGTTGCAAAAAATTTTACTAAAATGTTTCAAAAGAATTGAATTTCTGTGAAAAATTTTGTTATTTTTGAAAATAATTGAATTCTCCATAAAAATTTTATAAACATTGTTTTAAATAATTAATTTTTTCGAAATGTAGTAAATATTATGAAAATTTTATTTTTAATAATTGAATTCCCGTGGAAAACTTTATTTGTAAAAATAATTGAATTTTACGATAATTAATTAATTTAAAATAGTATTAAAAATAATTGAAATTCTTCTATGAGTTTTACTACCTACTTATGAAAATAATTGAATTCTTGCTTAGAATTTTATTAAAAAATTTTTTAAAAAATTGAATTTCCATGAAAAATGTTATTATATCAGTGAAAGCAATTGAATTATTATGAAGAACTGTATAAAAATTTTGTTAAATAATTAATTTTTTAGAAATTTGTTTTGAAAATGCTATTCTATATTAATTGAATTCCTGTGGAAATTGTATTGTTTATGAAAATAATTGAATTTTGGATGAATTTTATGAACTTTTTTTAAAATAATTTAATTCTTTTGCGAAATTTGATGAAAATAAATAAAAATAATAGTACAGCATAATGCAATAAAATTAGTAAAAAGTAGGTTTAAAATTTTTATATTACGGTTTACGAATAAATATAAATTTTTTTAATTCCAACACTAAATGATTTAATTATTTATTAAGGTGGACGAGATGTGGATGGTAGTTCTATTTACGTAGGCAGAGCATTTCATGAAGGAGATATGATTCCAGCGAAAGTAATTCCCGATAAAAATGTCGCGTATGTCGCATGGGGTGGTCAAGAGCATCCAAAAAGCAGCTATGAGGTAAGAATTATATTTTATTTATTTATTTATTAATATACTTGAATTCAAGAGAATTCATTATCGATATTTCTTGAATAAAAATAATATATTGAATTTCTAATAAATATTTATATACATAAATATGGACATTTTCTTTACTCTTTTTAAATATTACCTCACTTCTTAAAACTCTTATCAAATTCTTTCAATCGAAGAAAAGGAGGAAAAAATCTAATCAGAAAACTTTAATCCATCAGATTCAGACCTTGAAACGCTTTATCGATATATTAACGCAAAAAACAGATTAATAATCGAAATCTGCTCCTATCTGAAATACATTATATTATATAAAGTATTAAATTATTATTAAACAACATTTTATATACATATATATAATAAAAACAGACAAAAATTTTATTTGACTAAAAAAAACGATTATATGCCTATTATCAAATAAATATTTATAACCAAATAATATTTTTTACATATTTAAGTCAATTAAATGGCCTAATTGCTATAGATACTGAAATTATTGGTTCAATTACTGAAATGGTTTAAATATTAAAATTATTGATTCAAATACCGAAAATATTGATTCAAATAGGTACTAAAATATGTATTTGGTTCATAGAAAATTTATTTGATTTGACGAAACATTATTTTATTCAAGTAAATATTTATTTGATAACAGACAACTAATCGGTAATTTATTCAATTCAAATAAATTTTTTTCAGTAAAATTTATTATTTATATAATATTTATATAATGATTTCATCTCTCCTTCGAAATGAAACAAAATAAATTAAACATATTATCCATTAAAAAAAAATAGAACGAAGGCTATTTACTAAGAAAATTTAATAAACATAAACTACAATAAGTTTAACCAAAAAAATATATGCAATTATTGTTATTTATTATGTAAGAATAATTATCGAAGCATTGACAAGAACAAATAATGAACTAATTTCCAATCAAGTTTCTACTTTTTGTGGTCAGTTTTATAATACTTAATTATATTTATTTATTATTTCTTATAATAAGTAATTAGTTTTGTGTCCTTTTATAATTATAACGTATTTTCATGTATTTTTCTTTTAACATTTATCTTATAGGTTTTGTGTCAAGGCGAGTTCTCTTGGGAGTTTTGTGGCAATGGACGAATCCCCGAAGATGCTGTTGTTGGAGGACAAACATCTGAAGGAGAACCCTTGTACATTGGACGTGTTATACACAAAGGATCCCAAACAATTGGAAAAGTAATTTTTATTTTTAAAAACAATATACAATTACTAGCTTTCAGCACCGCAGACTACATTGAAAAAAAAAATTTATTTTATTAAAATAACCAATTACTTGACGCTAGTATCAATTAAATATTTACTTGAATCAATTCATATTATTTTTTTTTTCATCATTTCAATTCAATTATTATTTTCAAAAATTTTTAACTATAATTCTACTTTAGATGAATTATTTTTAATAATTTTCCAAAAAGTTCTTTGTCAATTTTTAAATCCATTTGTTTACAATATTCAATTTTAAAAAATTTTAATTATTCGTAAATTCTTCAATTAAATAAATATTAGAAAATAAAAACTTCAAATAATATAAAAAAAAATTAATTAAACTTTTTCAAAAAAATTAATTTCAAAATTCAATTATTTCTAAATATCCACGTTATAATTCTTCTAATATTTAAATATAATCTAAAATTTTAACTGAAATTTATTTTTACATCAATTTTTAATAGAAAATTCTACGAGAATTCCATTATTTAAATACAAATAAAATGCAAATAAATAATTTATTGAATAATTGAATTAGTAAAAATAATTGAATCCTTAAGAAGAATTTTATTACCCTTGAAAATAATTGAATTTCTGCAATAATTTGTAATTGGGGTGCATGATTATTCCCCAAATGTCATTTTACCGAACTGCACTTTTGCGAATAGTCAATTTTGCGAAAAGCCAATTTTGCGAAATGTCACTTTTGCGAATTGTCATTTTTTCGAAAAGACATTTTTGTGAAATGTCATTTTTGCGAAAAGCTATTTTTGCGAATAGTCATTTTTACGAATTGCCATTTTTGCGAATTGTCAATTTTCCGAAAAGTCATTTTTGCGAATCGACATTTTTACGAATTGTCAAATTTCCGAAAAGTCATTTTTGCGAATTGTCATTTTTGCGAAAAATACAATAGAAACTTGTAGGTATCTATAAATTCACTATTGTATTTTTCGCAAAAATGACAATTCGCAAAAATGACTTTTCGGAAAATTGACAATTCGTAAAAATAGCTTTTCGCAAAAATAACAATTCGTAATAATGGCAATTCGTAAAAATGGCGATTCGCAAAAGTAACAATTCGCAAAAGTGACATTTCTTAAAAATGACAATTCGCAAAAATTAGTTTTCGAAAAATTGACAAATCGTAAAAATGGCGATTCGCAAAAATGACTTTTCGAAATTCAATTATTTCTAAAAATTCACGTTTTAATGCTTTTAATATTTAATTATAATCTAAAATTTTAACTGAAATTTATTTTTAAAACAATTTTTATTAGTAAATTTTACGAGAATTTAATTATTTAAATACAAAAATTAATATAATTTATTAATATTATGTTTCTTAAAATTAAAGTCTCAAAAAAAGTTTTATCAACAAACTTTTAAATAATTAAATTCTTTAGACGAATTTTAATAAAAAGTTTTAAGAATAGTTACATTTTTCGTGGAATTCTATTAAAATTTCATTAAAAATAATTTGATATGTTTTTAGGACCTTAATTTTTGTTGAATACTGTTTTTTTTCATATTAAAAAAACACACAATCAAAAAAACAATTAAAAATAATTGAAATTCTGCCATGAGTTTTATTATTTATGAAAATAATTGAATTCCTAAAAGAATTTTATTATTTATACGAAAATAATTGAATCCCTGTAAAAATGTTATTATTTATGAAAATAATTGAATTATTGCGAAGAAATTTATAAAAAAATTTGTAAATAATTGAATTCTATTAAAATATTATTAAAATAGTAGATATTAAAAATCATTGAATTGGAGAAAACTTTTGAGAATAATTGAAATTTTGCCAAGAATTTGATTAAAATTTTGGAAAATAATTGAATTTCAGAGAAGAATTTTATTATTTATAAAGAAAATTGAAATTTTAAACAGATTTTTAAAAAATTTTTGAACACAATTGAATTTTTGCGAAGAATTTTATTACTTTTGAAAATAATTGAATTTCTGCAATCATTTGTAATTTTTCTAAAATTCTCCAAATTATATCGTACAATTTACGAACTTTTCGTTCTTTTTCAATCAAATTACGGACTTTAAGGACCACTTTTAAAAAAAACTTACTTTTACGGACTTTAAGCAAATTTACGGACCTATAGTTCGGGCCCTGAAATACTCAAATTATTGGTTGAAATACTATTTAATTGGTTTAAAAATTATTTGATAAAATTTATTTGATTCAAGTATATATTTATTTGATAATAGTGTCAAGTAATCGGTTATTTGAGTCAAATAAATTTTTTTTCATTGTTATGATGCGTAAACGACAGTATTTTTAAAAATCTTCTGTACATTTTGGAAAATTTCATTAATTAAAATTGATTTTAGGTACAGGGAAGTCATGGAGTTTTGTACATCCCATTCGATGGAGAAGAATTATCATTTAACGATTATGAAGTTCTTGTTTTGCATTAAATCAAATTAATTAGCGGAACAAATTTTTAAGAACATATGACTTACTTTTATTAACGCGCTTTTGTTGGAGGACAAACTTTTCTAATTAATAGACTTTTTTCTTTTTTTATTTATATCATGCCTGCGGATATTTGTTATTTTAATTATTTTTTGATTTCAGAAAATCAGTTTTTTCAATGTTTTGTAGTGTTATCTACAAAAAAAATAAATAAAAAGAACTTTAATTAAATTGAGATTTTATCATTTATTAAAATATAATTATAAATAGGTAGGTATATATAAATATTTGTAAATATTAAAATATTTATAGTCACAGATTAATTTTACACCAAAAAAATATTGAAATAATCCATTTTTAATTAATTTTTTCCATGACGAAAATGTGTCTTCAAATCAAAACCAAATCATTTGTGATCATTTTGAAAAAAGAATCCTTCGATGGATTATTTATAATCCTTTGTGGATTAAAGCTTTACAAAATATTAATATTTTAATCCATTTTGGTGTTAAAATAATGCTCTATCACAATTTTCAGTGCTGTTAATTTGTGCATTCCTTCAAAAATAAATCTTACTAACTTGAACTTATATATTTTACTAAAATATTTTTTTTATCTACTATTTTGACCTTTTAATTTTTATTTAGAAATTTTAATCAATTTTCTTCGAATGCATTTTTTGAGGATTTTATAATTAAGTCAGAAGTAAATTTTACTGATTTATACTAAAATTTACTTATGCGAGACATACAGTAAAATTCATGTAATTAAAAAACTAAAAAGTAACGTTCTGAAAAAAGTTTTGATTCAAAATTAAGAAAAATTACAGACTACGGACCCCATGGATAGAGAGAATAAAATATCAATAAATTAAAAACTGCCTATTTTATAAATTATACCGATTCTTAATTATAATTATAAATTACAATAATAGAAGTGAAACTTGAGTGATAATGATAATGATTAATCTAGATCGCGAAATTGTTGCTGCTAAAATTATAGACATTAAAATTGTCTTATCGAGATTAAGAGATGATTTTCATTTAAGAATTAAGTAATGAATGTGCTCTGATTTACTTAAGTGCATCGTCTAAGAAACTGAATGAATCTGGTTTAATGTCGCAACAGCATACTTAAATTCATTATCACCGGAAAGTAAAATACAAAAGATAAATTATTTTTTAATTGTATTTTCAACTTCAACTGTTTCCACAATAATTAAACTTTTGCAGAGGAAAATATTGAATTTTAAATCGAATATCGACGTAATTTTTTTTTTCCCAGTATTTCTCATATAATACAAGCTCTCTGTATGTTAATCTTTTTCCTCTACGTGAAAGTTTATTTACTACGAATATCTAGAATAATGATTTCTTCTCTTTTGTATTCAAATTTGTCCGAAGCTTCCAATTCAGCAAAAAAAGAAATAAAAAATAATCTAATTTTTTATTATAGTGCCTGACAAATTACACTTTCTATTATTTCATATCATTATGTCTCAAAATTTAAACTATTTCAATGACTATCGATATTCTTATTTTAAATATTTATTTCTTTTAATTTTTATTCTATTAAAAATTATTCTTAATTTTAAAAAGTAATTCGTAGCAACATTAATTCTGCACCAAGAGAAAAATTTTTATATAATCAATTATAATTTATTTCAGTTAAAGAAAAATATCTTTGTCTCAGAATCTACTAAATTATTTTTATTTATTTTGTTTTTCTTATTTAAATAAAATAAATAAAATAAAAATAAATGAAAATTTGTATTCGACACAAATAAAATGTTTATTTGAAACAAATAAAAAGTCTAGTTGGCTGTAGTCTAATAAATGTTATTTAAAAATAAATAAAAATTTTATTCAACACAAGTAAAATGTTTATTTGAACCAAATAAAATTTATTTGAACCAAATAAAATTTATTTGAAACAAATAAAATGTCCAGTTTGGCTTGCTGTCAAATTCTTTTTGGTTATAAATTTAAATTATTTTTAAATTCATGATGGTATTTTTATATTAATATTTCCCTAAACCAAAAAACTTAAAAAAATTTAATTTTTTTTTTCAAATTATTATGCAAAGTAGTTTAGATCCTAATTTAATATAACAATTTAAAGAATTCATCAATAAATTAAATTATTTTTCTCGCACCGAAACATATATTTCAACACTATCATTATTCTAATGAAATTTATTGTAATTTGTAATTGTATGTAAATTTATACTTTGAAAATTGTAAAACATTTTAAACTCTATGATAAACAATTATCACTTTTATCAAAGAATGTATAAACTGATTTCATGTATAATTATGAATTAATTCATCACTCTTTCATTGTTAAAAGGAGAAATTTCGTAACTTTTATTTCGTAATTATTTTTTTTCTTTTTTTATTAAAAATTAAAATGAGGAAGTGTCCTTAATAATTATCATTAATTTATTTAAATATTAATATTTTTTAAGTTTTCCAGGAAAACAGTTTATCAAAAAAAAATTAAAATAAAGATATAATCTGTTATTAGGGTAACTGTACCAATTGTCGAGGGTTTTAGGCAACATGTGACTTTGACATTTTTTTTCTCGGAAGTAAATGCACTTTAAAATTTGATTTTTGTATATTTGGACGAAGGATCTAATAATGTTTAATATTCATATTTATTTTTTTAATATAAACTAAATTGTTAAGCAAAAAATATATTTAAAAGTCAATCGAGCAAAAGCACCATTTGTCGATGGTCTTGTGCTAATTTCTCGAGGGTCTGTTCCAATTGTCGAGGGTATGACATTTTTAAACATATAACCCAATATAACCTAACAATTAACCTGTACAGATATTAGAAAATCGAGTAGATATTTATTTTTTCGATAAAAATATTATAGAACATTATCAGAAAACAAATATATTTATTTAACTATAATTGAATAATTTATAATATCGATATAAAACATTTTTATAGTAGATGATACAGGACAGAAAATTATTTAACTGTTTTTTAAACTTTTATAAATATAAGTTAATTAAATTTAATCAATTTTGTTAATCAGACATTAATTGAAAAAATAAATTAATTTAAGTCACATTAAATTTGTAAACGAATAAAATAAACTTTTATTACGAACTGTAAATATAATGGTTAATTATAATTAAACTATAGTACAAAATTTTTTAGTTTTAAATAATGCATTTTTTTATTAATTTTTTTTCGGTCTTCCTCGTTTTTTTGGTTGATTATTTTCTGTTGGTTGTAAATTTTTTGAGCATTTTTTTTCTTTTTCTCTGTACCTATAAATGTTTGGCATTTATGTTTGACGTTTAGTAAATAAACACTTAACCATCGATAAATGGTGCATCAGCGAAAAAAGTGACTACACCAATTTTCGAGTCATTACCTCGAAAAATGGAACTGTCAAAAAAAAAGGAACCAAATACCGATGATTTGCTTTTAAAAAATATTAAATATTTTTTTTTAACAAAAAAACATGCATACAAAATTAATTTAGTTCGTGTACAAAATTATAATAATAATTTTGTACACAAAAAGTCATTATAAATACGTTTAATTTGCATTTCTAAAAATCTGTTTTAATCAACCTGAAGTATTAAGAAAATGGAGATTCGTGTAAATTTCACAGCAGCGAATTATAATATTAATTAAATAATTATTTTAGTAGAATCGCTACGAAATTTGTATATATAAATATACAGTTGAAAATACAAAGATTATTTAGAAATTTTTTTTGTTCTTAAATATTATATATTATACTATTTATCTAAAAAAGAAAATTATTATCCTCGACAATTGGAGCACCCTCGGCAATTGGTGCAGTTACCCTAGTCCTTCCTCCTTATTTGAAAAATAATGAATTAGGTACAATTATAATTCATAATTTAATTTAAAATAAAAAAATTATTTAGCCAAATAATTGTTAAAACTAAATTAATTTAATAAATAATTTTTTTTTCATATTCCAGAAAAATATTTTAGTAAAATAAAAATTCTTTATCTTGTAAAAATAATTGATAAATTGAAGAGAAATTTTCCTGTTTAATTAGGTACGTAGGTACTATTTATTACATACAAAATAATTCTAAGTAATTTAATTAGTTAGAAATTTTGTTGTTAAAAAATATTTAAAAAATTTACCAAATACCTAAGTGCAAGATTAAATGGTATCTGATGAGTAGCAATACATTTAATTCGTCAGAATAAATAAATAATTTAAATAAATTGTCGTTCTACTTTCATGTGTGCAAATATTTACATAGAAACAAGTGCCGAGTATATGTGCACTTGTGATTCTATTAGAATTTTTGATTGCAGAGTTGGTAAGCAATTGATGTAGGCATACTATGTGAAATCTACAAGGTCATCGACTGAGCTTCTTCCGAGACGAAAGTAATTGTCTAAATTGTCCATTAAGAGACATATGCAAGGATAGAATAGTTTTCAAGATAAAGTCATAATATACTTCTCCATATAATGTATAAAACGATGTCAAGAGTCAATAATAAATATCTTTATTATATGACTGATCAATAAATCTTAAGACTATGCAAAAACATAGTATAAACTTTCAGTCGAGTATTCAAAATGCAGCATGATTCTTAAGTGACAAAAATCCCATCATGACAAAAGGTAACAAAGCATTACAAAACAAATTAACAAATTTTTAAGCACAATGCTCTTTAATTTATTAAAAAAAAAAACTCAAGTAACATGAGTCGTAAAAAAAAATTTGCAAATATAAATAGGAGTCAAGGTAAAATATTATGCAACATGGCGATGTAAAATCTCATAACATTGTTTTAAACACTTCACTAAAACTTCGAATGGATTTTTTAAATGAAAAATCATAAATTTTTTTGCTAAACTTTGTTTTCTAATCTCTTTTATTAATTTTAATATGTATATATATATAATTTTGTTAGACATATTATTCTTAATTTCAGAATAAATTCTTTTTCCCTAGAGAGCAATTTTCATGAAATGATAATAAAAAAATTCAAAATTAATTGGTTCAAAAAATTAATAAATATTAATTAAAATTGAAGCAACAGTAATATTAATTAAAAATTAAGGATTTTCAGAAGTATTTATATTATTAATACGCACGGAGCGCTGTATTCCATTTATTATTATTTTG